GTACTGATCAAAGTTAACTTTGGCTCATCTGTTCCAGGTCAGAGGGCTATGATTATGTCTTTGCTGTCCTAAGAGCCTGTCCATTTTCCATGCATGGGCATAGTGTACGACAGTTTCAAATTCCAATCAGGTCAATTCAGATCTCTACCTAAAAATCTCGCCACAGTTCATTATAAGAACAATTCAGAGTGTTTATGCTCACAGCACCTTATACAATCTGGCCTTTGACCCATTTCCACCCAGGATCTACCCTTGTGCTGGGTTCAGTAATTAATTTTTCTTAATTTATTCTTCCCTTTTCTCATGTGACATTGTAAGGTATAAAAGTGGGCCACACATGTTTGCTTATGATGCTTGTGAAGGTGTCAGGTGTGTTTGTGATGTTTGCTTCGGATTTCTTTTTTTAGTCATCTGAACATCACAAACAACACATGATCTAGGAACAACCTCTTTCTTAGTCTAGACTGTAGAGGACTTGTAGGGAAATATGAACCAAAGATGGATTCTGGTACCAAAGCTACTCTACCAATATGCCTGAAGCAAATTAGCTCCAGTTGGCCATAGCAGCTTAGAAAGGGCAAACCATGCACCACATGCATGCCTGGTACCCACAGAGGTCATAAGAGAGCACTGGAACCCCTGGAACTAGAATTACAGATGATTGTGAGCTGCTAGATAGGTGCTCAGAGCTTAATCTAGGTCTTCTGCAAAAGCAACTAATGTTGTTAACCATTGAGCCAGCTCTCTAGTACCTCCATTTTATGCTTTGAGACAGGGTCTCTTTTTGAACTCGGAGTTCAACAATCCATGTATTTCAGCTTCTGGGCTAATGTACCTGTCTCAACACTTGTACCCCAGATCTGGAGTTCAGAGGTACCACTGGGCTCACTTGTAAGTCAGTGCTGGGGATCTAACTCAGTGCCAGGGATCTAACTCAGGCCCTCATATTTGTGCCTCCTGCACTTTGATAACTAAGTCATCTGCCCAGCCTCAAAAGCTATTATGTTCTGTGCTGACTTTCAGTAGTTGTTTGTTCCTTTTAAAGAGGGGTTCTACCTTTGAGTGACTCACAAGATGGGTTTCCAAGGTGTATCGGCGTCTGCTTATCTATGGTGCCCTTTGTTGAATCATGGTTAGCATTCTATTTCTTTGCAGGCCTGGAAGCCAAGGACCAGATTAAGAGAGGAGGCAAACTGGACACCTGGGGTAACAACTGCCTGCAGGTGGCTCTGACTGCCTATCACCAGTGTCAAGTTCAGATTAACTTAAAGCTCCATGGCTCTACCCTCAGAGAACACAAGGACTCTTGAGTTTTATGGACTCTACTAGGTGATACTTGTGTAATAAATCAGGCTGGCATCTAACTTTAATATGATAAATAACACGCACTCCTAAGAAAGAGCACATTTTTACTAATCAGAGAGTTGACATGTTTATTAAAATGCCAATGCTGAGTCTCAAAACAAAAATAAAAACCAGACACAAAACTAAAACATTCAACCAAAACGTGGATTTTTTTCTGCCTGAATGTTATTTTTTGTATTGGGTTCACCCAGGATGAAGTAGTGTTTGTTATCTTATAAGTGTATGAGATAGGACCCCTCCCAGAGCATGGGTAGTCTTTCAGGGAACACACCCAAGCAGAGAACCAACTCTCCATCCCCTACCAGCTATCCAGGGAGGGTTAAAAAATTCTTGGATGGGTTGGGACTTCATGAGCCTCTTCCTCTGCCCATGCTGGGAGTTTTGCTGGCTTCATCTTGTGCAGATCTTGCATATGCAGTCATAGCTGCTGTGAGTCATGTGTGCAAAGACCCTGCCTTGTCTGGCAAATACTGTTTCCCTGCAGATGTCTCCATGTACCACCAATGGCTCTTCAGTCTTTCCATCTGTTTTGTGGTTATCCCAGATCCCCAGGGAAGGAGGGATGATTTAATGTCCCAGTTAGACCTGAGCAACCCAATCTCCTACTCTCTGTACACTGACCACTTGAGGGTCTCTGTACTATTTGTCACCTGGTATATCATATACCAAGAATATCTGATAGACACACTAGGTATAATGCTGAGAACTTAGGGGTGATTTAATACTAGGTCGATGTAGCAGAATAATAGTATTCTGTTTTCCCCTAGGGCCTATGACCTAGCCAGTCGGGTTTTTGGCCCAGTAAACAGCATTAGGCACAGGTCCCTTCCTGAAGAGCAAGGGTTCTCACTCCCTTTTGTGTGACATAGAATGTTCACTTATATTCGTGTTTCAGTGATTTGGCCCCTTTAAATGGGCATAGAGAGAGAAGATGGAATATTGTACCAGCCCCTGTTATTCCTTTGCTCAGCTTTCATCCACTCTGAAAGTGATGGATGAGTGATTCCTTGTGTTAGGAGCTGGGCTGGAAAGTCGAGTATGTTGGTGAAAAACACATTATACTTGTCTCAAGAGGCTTGTAAATTGGTGATGAAAATTTGGGGTTTAGAAACTATGCAAAAACATTGAAATTTCCAGTTGTGTAAAAATATTTATGCAATATCTTAATTTTGAAAAACAGTGTGTGTTCACATATGAATATACCTTGATGTTTAATGAAAATAAAACTTTTTTGATTACTGTTTTTAAGCTTTCACAGAGAGTAGGGCAACATACATTTGTATCAACTTCTATATACTGAATGGTGCTAAGCATATATTTTTCTATTTTGTTTTAAGTTGTACACAATTATGGCAGGTAGCAGGAACACAGACTTTAATTTCAAGGAAGATAGATAAAATTTGTCACTACAATGTGTTTGTCACATGTAACTTTACTTGGATATCAAAGATCTTGATGGATGACCTGCCCAAAAGACCAGTTCATTGACTCCAAGTTCAATAATGACTCCAAGTCAAGGACCAAGCAGGTTTGAGAGGACAAAACCTGAATGTTTCTGGCACTTACCTTTTGAGCCTCCATTTTTGTTTCTCATCATTTTCATACTTTATGCACTACAATGGGGGGGGGGATGGAAGGATCTGGGAAATTTAAGCAGAACAAATTGCAAATTCCACACCTAACATGAGAGGAGCCTCATTGGCTTTTTCCTCAATTATTGTTGATCTGTCTTCAGCCAAGTGGCCAAAATGATAAAGTTCAGACACTTTCTTATGTGGAGACACCAAATCACCTAGAATGAAGGTTGGGGATCATCTCAGTGGGTAGACTGCTTGCCTATCGAGAATGAAGTCCTGGGTTTGACTTTCAAAACTGTATAAACTTAGCTATGGAGAAAAATGCCTTTAACCACAGTAATTTGGCGGGTGGAGGCAGGCTGGTCAGATGTTCAAAGTCACCCCAAGAATCAGACAGGGCCCTGCTTTTTTGCAAGAAGGTAACCATGATATCCACTTAGTTTTAGATTGACTTTATGTTTTCTAGGAGGATCTTATGGAAAGCCCATATTACAGGTTTTTAATTTCATTTAATTAAACAGATATGGGGGGGTTACACATTATTATCCAGATACTGTGCCATATACAAGATACTTTAAAAGTTATTAAAATATCCTTTCATGCCTTTGGACTAGGAAACAAGAAATGATATTAATACAACATGGAACTGTCCCATTCTACCTTTGAGCATTTATACGTTTATCATTTCATTTTAGAATATGGTATGTGCATGGTAATTATAGATTTTAAACTCTGAAACATGATGTTTTATCTTTAACAAAGAACATTGTTGGAAATTATCTAAAGAGAATTTGCAAGAAGTCAATTCATCTCACCAGAAGCCTTTAGAAGAAATACAAGATCACTAATCCCCTGGGGTTTCTGTTCAAGAATGTCATATATATATATATATATATATATATATCACTAAACTTTTATTTAATTTACAACATCTGTAAGGAGAATCTGCTGCTCCTTTGTCTCACTACAAAGAAACCAGCCTGATGAATAATCTGTTCTTCACTGGGACTTTGTAGGTACTTACATGGAAATGGGGTAGAACATTAAGAACTTCCTTTTGTATTTAATGGAAGGAATACCAAAGGGACATAAAAAAAGAGAGAGCTTTACAAATGCCACATAAATCTCGAAACGAGGGAGTGAGGTACTAAACAAAGGGGGGCACCAACTACAAGAAAATAAAGTAGAAATGAGGGGTGGAGGTGTCTCAGAAGCTTTTAAAACTTCTGAGACAGGAAACCTCCTTCTCCTGGGCAGGGCGGGGAATGTCTTTGCACTCCAGAGATCACTCCCAGCTAAGTTCGTCTCAAGTTTTCCCTACCCCTCCTCCATTCCTCTCTTTAGCCCCCAAACACCGGGAGCCACCGCAGATTGCTAGCACAGGTACCTGATGTGTGTCACAACCGGACCTTGATGGCGTGTTTATTTTAAACGCCACACATCCCAGATAGGCTGTATTTGTAGACAACTCTCTGGGAATTCGAAGGACGACTTGCAGCTCACAGTCTATAAAAGAACAACAGTAAAACGCAGCGCGCCGCACGTTCTTTTGC